ATTTTGCTATAAATGCATAAAATTCACAGTATAATTATAATAGATTTAGTCACCTTTTATCATGCTATTTTATGTGTTTACATTACGTGCAAAGCGTGTTGTAATGTGAATCGAAATATGTAACATGAAATTGAATTTTAATGGTCGACGTATTAATCAGTTTCTCACTAAATTATTTGTTCAATTAACATTTATCTGTCTACAATCAAACGACACGCTACAGGTGTCTATTGATCTGTGGCTGTAGTTCGATTATCCTGCTGAGAGAAGTCAATCACTGTATTCGGAGCGACATGGAACGAGGTTTGCTTGAAACAGGAAATTCGCGGCGGAAAATTGAGAATACGTAGTCAAGTGTCAGCATTTTAATGTAATTTTGCAAATTGCTCATGCAAATATTCATAGAATACGCATATCCATCGGTTTCAAATCAACATGATTATTTTCAAATATAGTAGCCAACTATTTAAATGTAAATGCACACTTTAACCAGTTAAAAGTTAAACGGTGATCGATAAGAATAGTCAGGATACCTCTTCGCAGTAGCTATAAATTCACGTTGATTAAAAGTTAATAAAACAAATCTGTCAGATGTTATACATGTTAATGAGTTTTCGCTGATGTAAAACATTGAAGATACAAGGAAAGCTTAATTAAATTAACGCATAGGATTCACTCGGCAATACCAGGAAAAATACTTTTCAGGTATTCCTATTTAGAAATACAATTATCTATAAATTAATCCTCATTGATTTATTGATAATCCTATGCGGGTTAATCCTTCTATTCTCGATAAATTTCCGTTCCTGGAAGCCTTACGATAGCCAACCTTGCAGCAAACCGTAGCAATTTGTGGTTTGCTGTATCAATAATTTGAATCCCTAATACATGATTTCTACTATCAAAGACGTATTATACATATAAACTAACAAGATATTTATGTATGACATTTTATAATATACTTGATTATATTAAAAATGTATTCAAGAATTTTTACTAATAGAGAGAATAAATGATGAATTTCGTAACTTGATAATTTAATTCGACACGAGTTTCCTGCTTTGTAATTACAGATATGTAAATAATCCGGCGAAATTAATTTTCCTAACGTTTGGTATATGTTGTGGAATTGCAGCCACTGAGTTTACTTTACGTCATATTCGTGGGCGACCGCGAAAAATATTCCGATGCACACAGACCAATTTGCATACAGAGTGAATTTTGTAGCACTTTCCATCCACACTTTTTTTCCAATTCGTACCATCTGCGATAGGCCATAGGCGGTTTCGTTAATGAATACGAAAAATAGGATTATAAACATTGAAATTATAAACACACAAACAGCGAATCAAGTTCGTTATTCGATTCTCAAAATATATTTATAGAGTAACTGGAAAATTTGCTGCCAATATTCTTGATTCTATATGAACGTTTCTAAAGTAAAATAAAAGTCCTTAATATAGAGAACATGTATTACTTAACATAAGGTGTTTATACTGTGTATTCTTGTCAAAAATATGGTTAACGAGGAACGCCAGTGTGATTATGAAAAATATAATTATTGCCCATCTATATTATTCGTATAATTTTTTTCTTCACTGCCAAAAATGTGTAGCTTCAGTATTATAAAAAGAATGTTCGAAAGTGCAACATTTAAGAGATCGATTACTACCCTCTATCAAGGTTTGATTAGTAAAGGACGGCCATTTATCTAGTAGAAAAATATGTTGGAACGGCGTTAGCGTTATCTAACGGAAATTTGCATTTATTGGATTGCGGGGATTCGGCTTTCGGGGAAAGTACTGATCAGTGAAATTGTACACCTTCGAGCATACGCTGCAAAGGCAACAAGGGGAGCGCGACGCGCGTCGTTTGTTCAGTTACGTTCTTCGTTAATGGAATTTTGACTTTTAACACGAGCCCCATTGCTGGAGCTCGTTTGATAACGATTATTAATTTTCTTCGTTCAGCTCCGAGCGCGAAATTCCTCGAGGGATTTCATTAATGCTTGCCGAAGCAAAGTCAATGTTGAAAGGTTCAATAATGTTGATAAAACAAACCCGAGTTCCACACCAAAGTTCGGTTTGTTCCGAACTTAAACATTTATGCATGTCTAACTTGGTATAGTTGATGTCAAGTTCGATACTACATTATTCATTGTCGATATTCTTATTCATGTTAATAAATGATAATTGGGAACAAGTAGCGTGCTGTACAACAATAGGAAAAAATATTATGAACGTTTGTTTGTCAAGTTATAGTATATTCTAGTTTATAAGTTATGCAAAATATATATGTAATGGAGTAGCTTTCACTAAATACAGAATTCGATAAGACAACTTTATCACCGCTGCTCAGTTAACAACGGTTTTAACATAGAAAAAGTTTTCACGATGACGACGTTTTAAATGAATTATTTTGTTGGCACCTGGCGGGTAATACGGATCTCGGTCTTTTCAACGCTGGACGTTATTTAAACGAGACTTCTGGTGCAAAGTGGATAAAACGGAGAAAATCCGCTTTAATAAACCCGGACGGAGTCCAGATCGAAAGTCTCGCAATTTTCCCTCACAGATACGCGAGAGAATTAATTTGGCTGTCCAAAATTGATCACATTTAGAACGACTTTAAAAACTATTCTATAGTATCTTGCAGTTCGTCAGAATTAATCGAATATCTATTATTTCTACTATTTATGAAGTAAATTGATTCCTTCTTTCTAAATAAACGAGCTAATATTGTTCATGTTCGCAAATCTTTATAGTTATACGGGTTTCGTACAACATTCTTTCCCGTGTTGAAGCCAGTTTTTTGTTCATTAAGGCGACACTACCACATTTATAGAAATGAGGTGCGTCACAAAGGTTCCTAAGCACCTTCGTAACATCTCGTTACTACATAATAGAACGGTTTCCAGCTACCATCGCTGCTATTTGTACCTAGTCTGTCGCGAATAATTTCACGCCTGTTGCCTCACTGACTCTCTTCTTTTCTTGTCGTCGTCAGCTCATAATTAAGGTCCTAGTCCAGACGAGCTTAAGAGTCTCCCTACCTATTCCCGGTTAAAAAATTTTGCTGTGATTTAAAATGATTTCTACAAGAAATCGTTTTTATTTCCTTTTTGTCTGAACGTAGTAGATCTTGTAAAATGATATAATGCGTAATGGTGGAACTTTATTAGAGGTATTCGAATATATTTTCAATTCTAGTTCTCCGGTTGCTCGGCGGTCCGACTATTAATTAATAATTTCCACGGACGTCCGCCAATTACAAAGTTCGAGAGAGGGTAAAAAAGTACAATCACAGAAGGAAACTGCGCGTGGGGCGGATTTCGGTGGCAACGAGTTTGTGTAGAGGGGCGGACCGTAGTAATTGGAAAACGGGACAGGCAACCCTAAATTACCAGACGCAAATTAAGCCCCTGAGTGTTAATGAACTCCCACGATGACGACGTTGCTTACGACATCGTCTATATCGGCGCATCGACCCAGATTCGTTCGCAGACGAACTTGACCTTCTCACCTGTTCCTTTCAAATTCTAACCCGCTGTTAAATGAATTAATTCTCTGTATTAAAATAAAAAACTTTTTTAATTATTTAACTATTTTAATTTTATTAAGAAAATAAATAAAAGAAGAGAACTAAACACTGCATCGTAAAAGAAGAAATAAATTGATAATTCCTACCTTTTTGCTTAAAATTAGTATAAATGAATGATTGCAACGCGAGTTGTAGATCATTATTCATAGCTTGTTAAAAATTGGAGAACAGTTTGTTTGATGAAAGAACCGTAGTAATGGCGAACCGGGAACGGTGTCATCATTGTATCCTATAACGGGAAGAGAGTAATGGCACTTCCATCAGCGAAAGAGTGCCAAAAGGACGAAGACCCTTCGAACGGACGTTAACAGAACAAACAGGCGTGGTCGCAATCACGAGCTTGTCCTGGATTAAACATCTCTCTCATAACAAAACTTTGAAGAAGCGTGATGTGGTTTCCGATTAGGTACATAAAGTTGTCTGCAGAATATAAGTGAAATAGAAAAATTTGATAAGCCAACATGCATAAGAATAATTCTACGTCTTGGATGAATAAAAATCGCAGTTATCTCTATCGGTTTGGATCGCATTAGATTCAATCCGATTGGTAGTCGTTTTTCAAGTGACGCGATATGATCGGTATGCAATATCGGTCAATCGAGCTGTCAATGAAAATCGTGGCTGGCTGCTAGCGAAAGGGAAAGTCGTTTGGAAAAATAGAACTGGAACGGTTCGATTACGTTTGACGTCTTGCGTTACATACCATGAAATATTTTATAAAACGTTTAAATATCAAGCCTTTAATATCACTGATTCCGATTTATTCTCACGTCGCTTGTTAAAAAATAAAATTATTTTCTCATTATTACAGCTTATATTGCCAATTATTATTTATCGATTCAATATCCACTTGTAAGAAAGATAACTTGTTGATTATTGAAGTAACAATTATTTAAATAAATCAGAATACAAATAACTTGATGAAAACTGTGTAATAAAGACAAAGTGATATTTTACATAGATCCAATGTTTTATGCAATGTATAAAATAGTTAATAGTGCCTTATTAATCCTTTAACTGCTTACGATGGTCAGGACCTCCGTTTCCTCCTTACAATATCGTTACAAGTATAAAAATAAAAATTAAAAACCTGTAAATAACCGTATCTTTGCACATAAAAACTTCAAAATAAACTAAACAATGTAATATACGTATAAAATTATATTTAGAACTATGTTAATAAAATTTGGAACAGAAACTGTAATATGTACATTATGAAACATACTTTCACGTACTAACGTCATCCTGTATTTGCATAGATTATAGATTAAACTATGTAATATCCGTGCTTTTCTGTTACCTATTGCATTTAATAAGACCAAGCTGTTGCAGGTATTATAAGATATTTATACTGGTGATAGTGCGTAATCTAAAAGCCTGTTTGTATTTTTTTGTTTCAGGTACTCAAGCACTTTCAACAGAATGACACTTGTGAGCGTTCTTGTATCGCTGTTGTTACTTGCTGCGGTCAAATCTCATCCCCTGTCTTTAACGCCGTACAATGAAAGAGAATTATCTCGTGATCAACTTCCGTTTCTGTTCCTCGTCGACCATCGAATTCCAGATTTAGAGGTACGATATCATTAAAACAAACAAACATTATTTCGCAATTATTGAGTAAATTCTCATAAAATTTCATTTTTGTTGTTCGTGTGATAATATTTAATATAGATGAGAGAATAATATGGAAAAGGGAGAATTAATATAAAAAATTCATTGAATATCCAATGTCATAAAATATAAAAAGTGAATTATGATTTTTAAGATACAAAAGAAACTCCTGTTTAGATTTTATTTTCGACATTGATGTTACAAATGGTTTAATCTTCATAGAGATCCGCAGTTTAATTATCAGAAAGAAATTACTTGAAAAAAATCCAGTCTGGTTTTAACTTTTGGTTTGGATGCTTTACTATAAAACGAATATGCACTGTGACGCGACAATGGAAAATAATAATCCGCGTGGACGCAGCTTTAAATGGAATGGGATTCAAGTAGTAAAGGTCAACGAATATAAGCGAACCCTAGAATGTTAAGTATAGTTGACATACTTTTCCTAAAAAACAGTGGGCTCAAATAGCGAAATGTCAAAGCCGTCATATCGATTTCGTTTTTTCTTTTTCATTCGAGATAAATTCCATGAAAGGATTTTTCATTTACGTTTCCGTATAAACATAAAAATATTTATCGTCAATTTTATGTTAACTATATCAAGAGCTGCCTTAATAATAACACAATAATCCATAAATTCTACCGATTGCGCACAGAATAACGTAGGTGAAGTTAGACAGTTCTCATTGTCAAACCCGCAGAATTTACGTTATACAAACTTTGTATCCCGAGCTAACGAACTAATCAACGATCGACAAGATCGCGTTTCGCGTTATATCCTGCGAATAATTCACGTACATTCGAAATTTACACGTGTGCATGCACACAGTACGTCTCGGCTAGGTATTGAGATGTGGAAACGACCAACGATATTATTCCTTTGTAGATACGAATGAATTGAATTCAGAATGTGAATTGTGAATGGATCGTCTGAGTCACAGTGAAAATCAAACGTTAACGTCAGACACCTCGACTTCCTGTTTAACTTATTATAAACTGAATATTGGAGAACTGTCAGTTTTCGCTTCCCAAAATGCTTAATAATATCGTCTATTTTTTATTAAAATTAACATACTTGCAATTGTTGATACTAATAATCATATAAGAGTACTTTTTAACTCTATTATTTCTTTTTGGCCACAAATATGTAGATTGCAAGAGTCTCGTTCAATTGGAATCCCTGGCGTATTAATCTAGCGCGTCAGGCTAATTACATTTATATTCACTGCTAGAATATAATTATAGGCAGGTGAATGAATGCCGCGTAGGTAGCAATCGTTTCTCTCGAGACGGCTTCTTATTTTCATTCTCTTCGCGGTTTAATTAAAAGGATCTCATTGTCAGAAACAGTCAGACAGGAACACGATACGATACGAAAATATTTCTAATTAACGTTTGCGTGCAATATATATTCTATCGACTACTCCATTCTAGCCGACCGTTCATAATAGACCCTTAATTGCCGACGAAAAGTGCGTATTTTCAAACCTCTATGTATAGGGTGTCTCAATCAGTGTAGGTCACTGCAGAAGTTTGTGGTTGATTTTTAGAAGTAGGTCAAATCCCGTACTTTGGTCTATCGAAAAATAGTACTCTTATAAGGCGCAGACATCGTTGATTTTGGTTGATTTCTACATACGAGTTTTTCAATATGAAGAAACGAAAATTCATTTTCGCTATGTTATGTTATACGAGTACATAAAAGAATGTTACTATGAAATGTAATAAATTATAATTGAAATAATAAATATTGTACTGTCATCGTTTCTCTACAAATATTATTTCTCAGAGATTATCCGATTTTTCTATGAATTCTATTACAAGCATTTTATTTTTATACTCTTATCAATGATATCTATTCTCAATAGTTGTACTATCACCACTATCGTTTCTGTAGGTAATCGATAAGCAGTGAAAAATAAGCCTGAGAGGATATTGTCATTTAAATTAAGTTCTTTGAAAAAGTACAGTAGTTCATTTTCGAGGCACCCTATGTACTTCTTTTTCAGAACGCGCACTGAGACTTTTTTTTCATATTGTTGAGCGAGTGTTCCGTAAAAGTGGCAATAAAAGTAGGGAAATATTACGTGAGCGTATAGGCTACAGCAACGTACCGTGGCTCACTCATATGAGCAGCGTTAAGTCCGCTTCTTTTACGTCCACGAATATCTTTACGCAAACTCTCGATGCAGTTTTAACCGTAATTCATCGTCATTCGCTTCTCCACGACTTCTTCGGTCACGATCATTCGATTCCAAGAAATTTGAGATAATAGCAAGCTTGCAAGGGTGCCTTTTATGTGTTAGAAACAAATAGAATCTTATTTGAAATAATCGATGAATTGAAAAATAGTTAGATTTTATATCCTTCATGCACGAAATTATGCGATGTAACAAGATTACTTTCTGTTGTAATGGCATTCTTTACGTTCAATCAAAAGATTTTGCGTGGTTTTATGATTATTTGAATGCTAATATTGAACAAATATTTACTCTCATTTCTCGTGATGGTATAAATGTATGATTGGAACATTATTTCACAGCACTGATGCGTTTAACTACTAGACAAAATTAAAAGTTATAGCTATATATTAAAAGTTATAGCATGTACTCTGTTCACGTAGTTAAAATTGTGTCTATTTTAAAATTTTTTAATTTCCGTACTAAAAATGGTAAAATAATTTCTACATGCGTGCGAAGCAATAAGTTTTTTATTATTCCACGAATTCTTTTTTCTGAGCAAAGGCAGAAAATTTCTCTTTGTTCTATTCGGGCAAAATTGTGTGTGTTTCCTCGTGAAAGTAAATGTTAAGTGCTCCATAAAAGTGACCGAGCGTCGTATAAGAATACTTCTATTTTTAATTGGATAAAACCAATCTAAACGTTCAAAATTATCCTGCAAACTCCGAATGAATACTACATCTTGTAATAAAGTCGCAGGGATTTATGAAATGCAGATATCAGTGAAAATTTAGAAGAATGCAATTGTAATCCTTGTGACCTTTGTCAGATTAAAACCAGACTCGAAACAATTAAAAGACAGTCTGTGAAATCTATTGAAGAAGAACTAAGGTCGGTTAACTTTCAGAACGAGATGTTCGACTCGGGTAACGATCCCGGATCAACGGTTGTCCGGACAAAACGAATCGGATCGCTGTCGATCGTTAACTCTTTGGACGTGCTGCGACAAAGAGTTCTATTGGAGTTGGCCCGGCGTAAGGCGCTACAGGATCAACAGCAAATTGACGCGAATCGCCGCTTCCTTGAGACCATCGGGAAGAGATCATTACCGCTTTACAACAGAGACACGGGCAAAGTTGATACGAGAGCGCGGAATGGGTTCGATTATGCGATCGAGCAGGAGAAGAGTCACGAGCGAAATTTGACACCGGACAGGATTCCGAACAGAGGAGACGACTGGCTCCAAATGGACGATTCCGCTTTTCGAGAAAAACAGAACGACCAGCCGCGAAGGGTAATTATTTTCAACTGAGTAATCCTCGTCCGTTCCAATAATACAGGTTGTACGTTCATTTATAAATGTAGTATGAGAAAACCGTTTCATTCTTAAAAACTATATTATAAAATATTTTATATATGAATTCACAGTCTAGTTATGTTGACAGCTTTTGAAAATGATTAAAGAAACAAGTATTTAGATAATGGATTTGCTTTACAAATTTCTCTGAGCACCCTTAAAGATTCCGAGTTACGCAACGTGAAAATAGAATTTTAACGAAGAGATCATTTGAATTTCCAGGTGCAAACGAATGATCTGCGTTTGCTGTAATCAAGAATAAAAGAAGAAAAGAGGTCTTCACAATAAATTCGGTATATTACGGTTTTTTATCGAAAAAGCTAATGAATTGCGTACCGTTTATCTATTATTCGTCATATTCCTCAGGTTTTACCATATATTATACACGTATACATATATATACAAACATATATACACATACATGTATATCTAAATTTTGTGGCGTGCAGAATTCATAAGTTAATATCGTGATTTTCATTCGTGCAGTTCTGATTCGTCGTATAAAACGGATTAAAAGAGTTAGCATCGAGTTTATCAATAGAACAATTTAACAAGTAGTATGTGACAGTATTCTTTTTAATCGTTTTGATTAATTTTAGCTAGAATTTAATTTTGTTATTCGGAAAGGGAGGAAAATAGAAATATATATGTATATAAACAGTAGAAGAAAATAGAAAATACATATATACATGTACGATCCGCGATGAAAAATTAATGACATTACATTGTTTCTATTTCTTCCTTTTCAATAGCGCAAGAGATAAGAGTGTGAAACAAAACAGTATTATGCGTTGTGATCCTTTCAACTGATTAATCTCGAACAAATGCATTTCGTATCCAGTTTATTACGGATATAATAGTTTCGATGCAAATGTTTCTCGTTACCGTCATGTTTTAAGATGTGAAACGATAGAGAAACGTTATATAGTATTTTATTCTAATTATTTAAGAATAGTATCTCAGCTTTTAATTGAACTATGAAGATATAAGAATATAAAGTTGTATTTATCTAATGTACAGTAACATTTCTTGAACGATCCATGTATCCACGCAATATTTTGCCAATTGTTTCGAAGCCGGATTTAGATGTTACCATATACAAATGGCTGTAAATTTAATGTAATAATGTATATCATTTAAATATATATATATAGGTCAAACGCAGCTTCGTTCCCGATCAAGTTTTATTCGTTGAAACAAGTTAAATGTAAAGAATAAATGTTTAAAAGAGATGTGTCGAACTTTTTCATGCAAATTGTTATTTCCAGTCTTATTTACGTTGCTACGTGTAATCAAGCAACTATAATTGTATTCCTCTTTCTCTCTTCATTTTTTTTCATAGTCTTAACGAAGGATGGATGATGTATTTATTACCAAAGGAATATTGATTCAAAGTAATCGGTGAATAGTTCCTTTTCTGCATACATAACTGAATACGCAAACGTATAGATTAATTTATGTTTCTGTCCACGTAAAGCATCGAAGCGTAATTTATTTCTTTCAAGTTTAAACTTATACATATATGTTTAACTGTATATCGAACACATAACGCGAATAAATGTCTATAAAAATAATCGTTGCTACTAAGAAATAATTGCTACGCCTGAATTATTTAATTGTTTCTATTCACTACTTCAGCCTAGCTCTTCCTTGTACGTTAACGCTTCCGATGTTTACGTTTATCGTTAGGAGGATTATATAACATGTTAAAAGGAATGTGTACTGAGAATAATGTATTTAATGTAGAAAGGTTTTATTTATTTAAAATAATGCGTGTTTAGTGTCGTTATTTATTTATTTTAATTTCAACCTTTTTTTGTTTAATTAATTGCACAATGTGTAATGAGAAAGTAAAATAAAATACAAGTTCAAAAATGAATCTGTTGTGCAAGTTTAGTTGTACATCTTGTTCAATTAAAATATAATAGAAGTGAATATCTATGTCTTATCAATACCGGAGTTAAATATAATACTTAGTATTTTTATTAAAATTACAACACGTACCCCATCCACTTCCAGTGAATGTAGATAGTATTTTGTTCATTATTTATTTTTATCTCTGCAAATATAATTGTCAATCTGTTTGAAACTGTACAGAGCCATTGAAAATATTAATGTACAATACGTTTTTCTTTGTTTTTATCTTCTAAACAGTCTTAACAGAATCTCGAGAAGTTAATTAAAAAAGAGCCACATTTTTAACGTCGGACTTTGCTTTACCAAAATTCGTGTTTCCTTTACTTTTCTATACCTAATTACTTGATACTTGTTGGAATTCTCTTGTCGCGACAAGCAGAAAGTGGTTCAAACAACTGCGTAATAATGCGGCCAGTAGAATGATTAACAAGTAATCAAATGGAATTAAACCAGGAAATGCTGGTCGTAACTTGGAACAAGTTTGCGAAACGTGCAGTCTACTTTGAGACCGCAATCACATTTTACGTAAATCGAGAACAAACACACTACCGTCAGATGCGGAAGCACCAACTTTATCACCTCGACTGTTCCAGCACACCTCGAAAATACCTCCGGTGCCTTGGTAACTGTGGACCAGTTGACCGCTCTGCAATTAACAAAGTTATGTACAGAATTCTTTCCATTGCGCGGGAAATTCATGCTGGCAGAAAGACGAGAAGAGAAACAGCCATCTTACCTGAGTAGACCAAATATGAACACATTTGTCGAAACTGCCGCTGGCTAGGAATTTGCCATCTGGGCTAAATGCTACGCTGTACACGGGCTCGGTGTGTTTCGTAAGCGTGTGTATGCATGCGCCTCTGTCCACGTCCCACAATCTGACAGTAGAATCGAACGACGCGCTTGCTAAAGTTAAATTCATATTTGGATTGTGAGTGCCTGGCCCTGTTGGAGACCATTTAATGGTGTATATTTCTTTGCTGTGAGCTTGAAGATCGTGCACCCACGTGTCCTGCTTCATCGACCAGATTTTCAGACTCATGTCGTCGGAACAACTGGCCAGTAAGTTGCCTTGGGGATCCCATTTGATGGCGTTCACTTCATTCTAGACAGATAAATTAATTATGTTAGTTTCAAAGAAAATTCAATCAAAGATGTACAAACGTACCGTGTGTCCTTGGAAACTCTTAATTGGTTTATCGACATTTAGCTTGCAGACGTGAATGCATTGGTCCGTAGAACAACTGGCAAAGGATGTATTCGTTTGCCAATCGACGTCCAAAGCGGGCGCGCAATGAAAACTAAACTGTTGCGTACATTGACCACTTTCCGCGTCCCATATAATCGTTGTCTTGTCAACTCCGGCACTTAGAATGTAATTACCACGTTTGTTCCATTTCAACGCGAAAATGGGACCCTTGTGCTGGCCTAACGTGGATGCTAATTTACCGTCTGTCTTCCAGATTCGTGCGTATCCATCATAACTCCCTGTTGCTAATAAGGTACCATCGCACTGAAATGGATAAATAAATAGTTTTCCTCAGGTATTTTTGGAGCAGGATTCTCCAACAGTTGTAATGTAGAACCCATGATAACCAATGTTTGTACATTGATGGTTTATTGTATTTCGGATTCACTTTGTATGCACACAAAAAATGCGGCACATTCATGTAGGTTCGTATGGAAAACAATAACGATAGAGGTGCCACATTTTTCATATATCCATGCAAAGTGGGTCCGGAATCCAACGAGTACATACCTTCCAATCTAACGAAGTAACATCCTTATTACTTGGAACTTCAGTACCGCCTTTTTGTATACAGTGACGCAGTACGAGTTGGTTCGGGGCTTGGGAACTACCGGACATGTCCCAAATACGGGCTGTACTGTCTCCCGACCCTGAAGCCAGGAGATCAGTCGTTGGATTCCAGGCACATATGAAAACTTCCGATTCGTGACCACGTAATATCGTAGCTTTCGTGTCCGGGATTTCGACGGCACTGGCATTAGCTCCTCTGCTCGAACCCTGTTGCTGCTCATCCACTTCCATCTCCATTCTGTCTCCTCCTCTTTCGTTCGTCCCAACCCCATCGTTCGATGTAACAACTGTAAATGGATAAATCATTTAGTAACAACTATTAAATCTTTCCCCTTTTATGTTTATTCAACAAAGTAACTGTTTGCTGTTAGTTACAGACATGTTACAATCAAGCTTTATTTTGCTACATCAGTACTTCTTATATACAATCAAAGAAGAGTGTGACTTTAAATAAAATATGAATAATACACTAGATATTAATAAGACTGTTGTAACAAAAAACTAGCGCATAACAAATCTGAGAACTAGAGCAGTCCTTTACTGTTCCTGGTTAGATGAGGAGGTCTATAAAACTAGGATACTTTTAAAGACCAGGGTGTACCAGGTAACAAATCAATTTTCGATTTTCAAAAAGTTGCAACATTAAAGATGAATGGATGTAATAAAGAAAATTACCTTCTTCTCCATTCGTATCTTGAACTTCCGTTTTCACCTGCTGTTTCTGTTGATTAATTTGATTTTGCCTTGATGCAACAACATCTGGCATAACTGCATCAATAAGGGACAAGGACTCGACCATCCTTTGTTCAGTGCCATCTTCACCAATGCATATTTCTGCTTCAGTATATAATACTCCTTTTTGTAGGATTGACAAGAGTGCTGCTGGTGGTACCAATGCTCCATTTATATTACTTTGTGATATATGTGACTCTATGCCAAATGTGTATGCAGAATGTTGAAATCCTATAAAAAGGATCATTCGTTAGAAATGACATTAACGAAACAAGTTTTTCATTATGTATACACAGTTTATTTGAACTAGAGGTGAATTAAAATTATAACCAGATGTATTAATTGTATAATACATGTATAGGTCCATCTTTTGTTTATATATATAAACAATGAATGTATATAAACAATAGAATTTCACTGTTGATCAAAGACAGGTTATGGTATATTTGTAAACATTTACCGGATTCTTGAAGGTAACGGTATACCAGGAAATTTACTTCATCGCTGGAAAAGCTCATCGTTTCTCAGTTTTGCGATACTACCACAGCATATTTATGAGAAGTTGTACTGAAAATTACTTTCGATTCGCGTCCAATTCCAAGCATTCCAAGGTTTACTGCCTGCGTCGTGGACATGGACGCGTGGACGTAGAGTCGTTAAAAGATCACAAACTAATGCAAATCTATATAGACTACAGACTACGATGCTTTATACGGAATAAGCAGTTTCGGTGCGTCACCACCAGGTAGACACGTGTGAATAGCCAAAAGGTCCATGCACTGATCTGTCTGTGTCTATGGTGTAAATGCAGCAAATGCACCGGTATTGTGTGGTATTGTGTTGATTGTTGTTGATTGTGTTGGATGGTGTTGCGTTGCAACTGCACTGAATTGCACTGATACTGATTGTGAGTCTGAGGTACGATTATATCTTTTTCTGACAGGAAAACAGGTGCTGCGTTTGAATTTCGAATACTAAACAAAAGCGAATAAATTGCAAAAATGAGCAATTCAACTATTTCTGATCAGTCCCTAATGGACAAATCCATGCGAAGCGTTTTCGGTAAGAAATAATTGTCTATTGATAAATAATTCTGATATTATTTCTATTTCAAATAGATTATATTAATTTAGAATTATTGGCAACATATGAAAAACAGGCATTGTATAGCATGTGCCTGGGAAATGTGAAATATTAATTGTTTTATACTTTGTTTAAAAATGCTAGGCATTCTATACAATGCCTGCTTTTCATACATCACTTGTAACATAATCCTTAGATCAATTTCACATTGGTATTCAGTTTTCCTAACATATTCTGAATGATTACAATTAGATTGGTCTTCGATCGGGAGACAGGGAAGCCGAAAGGATATGGTTTCTGTGAATACAAAGATCAAGAAACAGCTCTCAGTGCTATGAGGAATTTGAATGGTTACGAGATTGGTGGGAGGACATTAAGAGTTGACAATGCCTGCACAGAAAAGAGTAGAATGGAAATGCAAAGCCTTTTACAAGGACAGAATACTGAAAATCCATATGGAGAGGCAGTACAGTCGGATAAAGCTCCCGAAGCTATAAGCAAAGCTGTCGCATCTTTGCCTCCTGAACAAATGTTCGAGCTTATGAAACAGATGAAGCTTTGCGTGCAAAATAATCCGAACGAGGCACGTCAGATGCTGCTTCAGAATCCTCAACTAGCGTATGCTTTGCTGCAAGCTCAGGTAGTGATGAGAATAGTGGATCCTCATACAGCTGTTAATATGTTACATAAGGCAAATCCAATCCCAGGTGTATTGACACCTTCTGATAAACCAGCTGTACATCCAATCGTGCCTCGGATCGAGGAACCGTGGGCTCCAAATCGACCAGCACCAGTTGTTAATCCTCCAGCACCAATATTTGCTGGTGAGGGTACAACTTTAATCTGTGGAATATATTCTTTGTTATTACGAAATTGACTTGTCTATTTGTTGTACAAAGTAGTCGTATTGTTATTCATTATTACATAACGGTATGTAAATGTGAAAGGGGGGAAATTTTGTATCAGGACAAGATGTTGATTTACGTACATTGGACAGACAAATCGATCCACGTTTAGCTAGAATGGATCAAGATTTAAGAGGACCACAGCCAGTACAATCAACGCCCGTTACCGCACCTCCAGTAGTATCTGCCGACACAGATCGTAGAGTACTCGGCACTTTTAATATTGCAGACAAGTTAGTACTTTTCGTGTTAAAATTATATTCTTTAATTAATATTCTTTAAGAATCAATTGTCTTTTGCAGCACACTTCCTGTTGAAGGAGTCGAGAGGTTCCACAATTGTTTTAAATAGTTAGAAGCGACATTATATGAAATATTTTAAATGCGTTTAATTTTCTTTCAGCTTTTGTCGCGATCCAAGGACAGACAGATTCGGAAGAGATCCAAGGGATCCCAGGGACCCAAGAATGCCCATTGATCCCAGAATTACGAAAGCCAATTGTAAGTAAGAAATATTATTCTCTTTTCTAAACTCTAATTTGACAATCGATTTTTTAGCGTCAGTGCCAGTAACACCGCCAGTGGTACCGAGACCTGTTGTAGCCCCAGCTGGCCAGACATCTAGCGTTGCTGCAGCCAGCGCTGCAGCTCCCGCTACCGCTTTGCCAACATCAACAACATCGGCAACATCGAGGCTTATGGCAGGCATGTCCCCAGCCGGAAATATACCGAGCGGTGCATCCGATCAGGAAAAGGTACGTAACATCATTTAGCATCATATAAAAAATATCAAACATTATATTTATTTTACTTTTATATGTGTAAATATGTGATTTACGACTAAACAGACTTGGTATTTGTAATACTTAATGTCTTTCATAAACATCTTTGGAAAATATCCAACCTTCTCATTGAGTGCAGAAAATACGCCTTTTATAACTAAATATGCAAGTAATTATTCTTATTCCTATTCTAGGCGGCTTTGATAATGCAAGTGCTACAGTTATCGGATGAACAAATAGCCATGCTACCACCTGAACAGCGACAGAGTATTTTACTACTCAAGGAACAAATTGCCAAGAGCGCGCAACGTTGATTGTAATGAAAATTTTGCTTTTAAATAAAGAGTAACAGTTCATTGAATTAAAAACAAAATACGGAAGTATAATGTACAATCATTACACTGCGGATTTCTATGCGATTGTAGAAAATTGTAATAAAAGAAAATGCGCCCACTGTGCGATTCCAAAAATATTTCAAGTGAAATATCTGTATAAACAGATTACATTCCTTAAAATATATATGATTTCGTATAAAAATCTGCAGTCTAGTAATCGTATTCTGCTATAGTAAATTATCTAGTATAAAAGAAATTTCTGTTTACGTTAATAATGAAAGGTATATATAGGTAAGGAACATGAAAAATATCATTCTGAAAGTTGAAACTCGTACGAATATAAACAAACTTGTCACTAAAAGTAGAAGAATAAAAATTAGATTACAGTAGTCGCCATTTAAAAAGCAGTCTTTCACTCATCCTCGTTTATTCGAACGAGTAAACCTTTTTCGATAAGTTTTTTAAGTAAAAGTTTTTCGCATTTTTTATCCTCGTAGAGTTCAACGCTCTTGAACCTTTCATTAAGTTCCTGAAATTAAAAATTGCATTATTCATCAAGTTATTTGCATTTGTTTTTAAGCATAAAAAGCATTAATTAAATACTGTGCATTATAACTTGCTTTGATTACAGCTATGATGGGTCTGTTGTAACATTTCTCCAGTTCAGCTATTAGTACCGGGTTATTCTGTTCTATTGTAGGGGCAATTTCTATATTCCATAATTTGCATTTCATGGACATGGGAGGTACATTTAACCATTCCTTTTTCAAAGCGTACAATTCACACCTTTCAACAGAGGCAACATTTTTTTTATCCACAGAAATACAATAATAAACAGTAAACAATAAATAACTTACTCCTGAGGATTTATTTGTCTATATTCGTTGTTGCCATAATCGATATACAACAAATTAATCACAATATAGCCCGAATCTAAGTCAAGTTTAGATTCACTTATAATGCAACGGTACCAACGATCATCAACGGAAAATTTTGCACAACACGGTGTATCTACAATTATTGTATCGTAATGTATATTGATTTTTATTTTGCATACGTGAATTACTAATAAATATATTCACAGTCTAATCATAAAGTGTGATTATTGTCACAATGTGAAATGCTTACTGGGTGAAAATGTTGTAATCATTGGTTGCTTGGATGCTTTTTCCTGTAATTCGGTCATTAAGAATTTGTACTGTGTATAGTATGAATTCAAAACCTGCAAAAAGAATAATTGAATAGTACATTTGAAACAAAAAAAAAGAAAAGTATGTATCTGGTCCTATACCGTCGAATGAACATTTTCTCGTAAGTGAGCAAAAAATTCAGTTGCAGTAAGATTGCAGCACATTTCTATTTCAATGTAGACTACATCTTTTGGTATATTCAGAGGCTTGTACTTGTCTGAAAGGATTTCTTGTGAACCGGTATAAGGTGTCGAAGTAACCAAAGGAAAGTTTTCGATAGTAGTACTACTGTCGCTTTTCTCGATAGTGTCTGCGAACGAATTTGCCGCAGGATTGTTACAAATAATCGGTTCTATTTCTTCCTCATCCGACGAAGGTGTTATGTTTCCCATAAATTCGGTAATCGTATCTTCCATAAATTCGGATTCCGCTGCTATCCTTTGTTCCATCAAGGTGTTTTCTATAGGCTTGATATTCATTTTACAATTGTGTGTGAGATATGCGATCAAATCAGTTTTCTTCTTGCAATACTTGTTCGGCAAGATATCGATGGAGATCTGAAGCGTTAAAGAAGTAAAATTTTGATATCCTGACAAGTATTTACAAGAAATTAATATTACAATTACTTATTTCGTTATTCAGCAATATTTTTTGTAAATCTACTTACAACGAGATGCTTCTCAGTCCTGTCTATGACGGTTACTTCACACTTTTGTTCAATAATAATATTGTGAATTCTATCTAAATCACTTGTCAACCATTTTTCATTTTCCTATTACGGACACAATTCAATTAATTATTATGTTAAAGTTTATTGTCGTAAATATTAAAAAAATTGCTATTTACCGGATATAAACCGTAGACAGTGCATTTTGTACATTGGATTGGGATATTTTCCAAAATTACTTTCTTTTTTAAAGTTCCAATCGAACATTCCTCAACGTTTCCATAATCGACAAACTCTACTTTGACTACATCGTCGTTTAGAATTTCTATAATTTTCCCTCGATACCACTTGTTGTCTGTATGGTACTGTGCAATGCACAAATCTCCTACATTCCATAACGAATCACACGATTCTATTGGAGGCCGCTCATATAGATTTTCCAATTGTTCTTCTATATGTTTTAGGGAGCGTGAATTTTGGTTTATCGAGTGGAGATAAACGAAGCCGTCATCGTCTATATATGTCGGTATGGCGATAAATACGTCAGCTTCTATTGGTTCTGCTGGCAGCCAAGACGATAATCTTGGAAGTGATGGTAAATTATCGAGTAAATCCGTAAAATCCTGTTCGTCATCATTAGTTTCCGCGTGGGAATTCATATCCGATGACGTAGACAACGACTTTTTAACAAATTCGTCTAGAGAACTTAATGCTTGGATAACACCATCTAGTGATATCCAGTTCTCGTCCGACTCGGACTTGGACAAAAGTTCAATCTTTTTACTTAATTCTCGTTTTAATTCAATGGCTAAAATCTTGTCCCTCTTTTTCGCATATTCTTTTATTGGCAAGGCGACTCCGTTCTCGACGAGCAATCTGTTGATTGAATTAATTTCGTATCTGGACGGCGACAAGGGTCCGTCAATTACCAATTGTTTTATCCATAATTCAACGGGTATCGCGCCATTTTCCATATCTTCCTCGTCCACTTTAGATATGTAAAACTTGCAATTGTGATTGTTGTTTATAATTTCGGACAGTTTTTGACACGAGAACGTTGGCCATGTATTAGATCCACCACAAGGCAGTATACCGGTCAACTTTATCTTAAAAATATGTGTGGGTGTATTCGCGTAACGCGGATACAATGACTGTATTTTGTCCATCGGAACAGTCTCTTCGATTCCTATGTCGTATAAAAATACGGTCACTTTATCATCGGATTTAATATCGACGATTCGGGCGCGATAATACATTTCACTTTTTTCCAAATAAACTGTACAAACACTATCTTTGTTCCAATTATGCTTTGCCGAATGATACTTGGCGTAAAATTCTTGCATACTTCTCATCATCGATTCCACGTCTTTTCGATCGCACGTGGTCTCAGATACGTAAATGCAGTCTGGAGACTGCACTTGATGTATATCAACATTTATTTTAAAAGGATCCTCGTTATTCTCTGAATTTCTTACGCTTGACTTTACTGATTTTGCATTGAATGATTGATCGTTATCCTGTAATTCCAAACATTTTCCCATGGTATTTATTAACGATTTATCATGCTTCTTATTTCTCTTGTTTCTATTATTCCTTGCGCTCGAATTGTAAGAGCTGCGCCAAGAAACACATATACGTGAATATAAAACATTCTTAGAAATATAAAAGTAGAGAAATGCTCAAGTTCTGAGACTACAAATCTTTTTAAAAAATTTACCCAAATTCAACATACATTGCCAGATTATATTTCAGTAACAATTGAGCAACATTCGTTTTCTCGTTGATGAGCATGGTTACACTGTAGGCATCTCCGAATTTTTCGTGAGGAATGACTCTGATTCTTTTTGTTTTATTTAACACTGTTCTCAGAAATTCTTTGCTTTCTTCTCCCCATTCGTCATTTTCAGACTTTGGTTTTATATTTCTCAACATCACTTTTATAGCCTGATAAATTTAAATGGAATTACAAGTTAGGGACAACTGTTGTAAAATGTAAAAAATGAACAAACATCCCAACTATGTAAAATTATAAAGTTGCCGAATTAATTACCTGTGTCGTGCAGCTCATATACTTTGTATGAAGCGGTTTGATCTCCGAATATTCCATATGCAACGTATGTCCCAGATCGACGAAAAAGACCGTTGCTGCATTTTCTGTAACTTCCTGTATTAAACCTCTATACCAATATTTGTCCGATCTTCGAGCAGCACATGGCATACCTATATAAATAGGAGACTAGACTAATCCATTTACTGGCATCAGGTTGATGTTTAAGTACATGTGAGGTAAATGTACCAATTTATGTTTACATGGCAATTTCTACTTATAGATATTCTCTTTTCATTATTTTAATGTAACATGTAAAATTATAAGAAAACGTGAGTAGAAATTGGGACATTTACTGTATTGGACGGTAGAGATTTGAAGAATGCCTTACCCTTGCTAGGCATTGAAGTAAAATTGCAATACTCATCTTGGTCGCAATCGTTCGTTAATTCTTGTATCAAGTTACATAAATACGCTCTGTTTGCATCTGCCTGTAACAAAATAAATGCGAGTTTAATTACTCGTACCCATCAACACAAAAATGTCCAAATGGCTACGATGAGCAAATTATAATTAGGAATTGTTAAATATACAAAAGTCCGTAAATATTCGTACATATTACAAAACTGCTTAATCTTTTTTCCACAAGTTCGACGATTATTTTGTAATCCTTTGTTGTGTATCATACTAATCTCTCCAACAGTTAAAAAAATGGACTCAAGTCCAACATAAAAAAATTTATTCAATTTTACGGATAAATATGGACTTTCTCTATTTATTTTGATGTATTTTTGGAGACTTGAATTGACAAGTATTATTTATTTCCTTCACATTAACAATTAGGTCTAATACGATGACTGATCTATTAACAAAGAATTAATCTTTATCGTAAGAAACGTACTTTCTCGACAAATATTGCGTTAGGCGAATCAATACTCAAAAGATTAACTTTCGTGAATGCATCCATATCCAGTTGTTCCTTGTAATATTTTTTTGTCAAGCCAGGATTCATTCTCTGCAAACAGAAAAGATGTCGATTTTCTAGATCGTGATCAAGATGGTTGCAAACAGTTCGCATTTACCATCAACTTGTTTGGCGTAACACAAGTAGCGTATTTCATGTATATTAACGAGTCCTTCACATATGTCAAATTGGAGTCTTTCGCAGATACCACACATAGATCCACATAATACGTATCACCAGTATTATGTATAACACGCATGGACACCATCATATTTCTGAAATGAATCATGAACAGTAATAATTTTGATTTAATAGCTAATTAATTGATGTTACTTACGAGAACACAAGATCCTTGAACGTGGTAATGGCCTCCGGATGCCATTTACCATTGTTGGGCACGATGTCGTGTAATGAACATTTAAAGGCCATCATTGGTGTACTAGCTAATTCCGGTGAGATGTTTCTTATATTCTTTAATGATACATTTTCCTCTCTTGTGCCGTAATCAATGAATGTCGCCGTGTATCTTTCCTCTCCGTTCGCCTGCGTTTTCTTGTCTATGATACGCGCACGATACCAATCTGAGTTTTCGGAATGTTGTACAATATATAATTCATCTAGAATAAAAATGCTTCAATAAATATGTATAAAGAACACATATAAAAAAAAGTTGAAATCGAACAGATTAATATTTTTAATATTTAAAAGACCTTTCGCGTAATGTTACACTATGTGAAAACAAGTAATTATGAAAAATAAAATTTTTCAGTTATAATGTAGCCAGAGTTCTGGAAATTAAGCAATATCGTACTTATTGTAATCTCTGTTGGCGTTGTCGCAGCTGTGTTCACTAGAACTTCTAATCCTTTAGTAATACCCATTATTTTTTTCTGGTTTTGGGCCAGTTGGACATAAAAATGAGATGGGTCCACCACATGACTGACGCGTACCGTCTCTGAAGATCCTTTAAATGAGTAGAAAAATATTACACGTATGTCATTATTGAGTTTTGATATAAAAAAATTATATAGAAGATGTTTTCATTTTTAAAGCAAAGACCGATATGTACCAATGGTAGGAGAATGACTAATTCCCGTGCTTCTAGTAGACGCTACAGACTTTTCCGATTGTCCTAAAAAAATGAAAATTTTGGTTCCAATTCGTTTTTTCATATCACATACATGTACTTATTGCATTCAAAAAATTACTTGAGACGCTAATGTCCAATTTCGGAATGTATGGTTCCAAGTTGTAATCCTCTGGAAGTGAATCCGTTTGTTTCAAGGTGTAACTAGATGCTTCCGGAACATGTATCGCACAATGCTTTTCCAAGATTTCAACAATGTTGCTGTCATATTCAAATCTGCCAGAAATAATTGATCAGTTAAAAAAATTCTGCAGCAAATTGGACCTACCGATTTGTTTTCTACAAACAATTGGAAGATCTATCTTTTCTTAGAAGTTTCAACCAACTGATTTGAAGAATTAGTAATTAAGGATTTTCATCGGTGTCACAGAATTTCTTGAGGTCTAGAAATTAAAATTTAAATACTCGATTGAGTGTTCTTATAGAAAAAGAAGCGCAGGTTCTATTCGAATTGACGAGTGCAAAACACCGCGGGTAAGTAACGATTTACTTTAGCTCATTGAGATTAGAGAGGAAAACAAAATCTACGCGACAGTTCTGGTGGTTAAATGAAAAAGAGAAAAAAATATACTCCGAAGTCCGCTTTGAAAACACAACCGTGAGCACATCCCATTTTAATTAATTATTCTTACACCTCGAATCCTTTTTTCGTTCTTTCTCCATCCCTGTGCCTCTCTTTCACTCTCTTTCAGTTTGGACATTTGTAAGCTGCTTACGAATATAAACGACAGAGGATTTGTCTGTGCACCGTCGTCGGTGTCGAGGAAAATAAATTGTTCAATATGCACTGGAGATTTTGATTTATCAAAAACACGGGATTTTCCTGTGCACTGAAAAATCTCTGCGCTATGTTAGGAAGTGAATGAAACTGGAAGGATGTTAAGGAATTCGATTTTGTTGTTCAGTCGTCTTGATGGAAATTTAAGTAAACGGAGTGATGGTATACAGTCGAAATAATGCTATCAATGACAAAACAAAATTGACTTATTTCTCCTATGATTTTCTTTAGAATACAACATATTTTGCAAAGTTCGTATTAAGTATAGGAAGCAATTTCTTTTTATTTATGTAAATACTTAAATCGATTAATAAAAATATTGCTTACTCAAATGAATCGTCTGGCGCAGAATTCAGTACCAAGTGGCAAGGAGTCTTAGATAATGTTTCAAATTGCTCAATAATCTGCTTAATGTCTACCTTGTCGAGAGAGTTTTTTATGTGTGCCTCAGCCTGAAATACGAATTTTTATTTACGTCTCGTTGTTATAAAATATATTAAAGAATATTTTACCCCTTGAGAATTTCGATAACGAAATTTTTTTAAATTCATACTAACTCATAACTGAAGTGTTACGGAAATCGAGGAAAATCTCGTTACCAGTAGAGATATTTCAGTTTATCATCGCACCAGTTAAACATTGCATGAATAAAACCGACGGAGCTTCCCCCGCGGACCTAATAATTATACTAATCAAGCTGGAATTGCGTATGCGATAACGTATTGTCTAAAAATACGACTGCAAATCCCGTTAACGAAATACAATACACAAAAATGAAATTTGAAGAATGAAAGATATTTTATATAAACCGTATGTTGTGTTTATTGATGCTAGATCTATAGTTGGAAACATGTTAATTCTTACCATAAGAGCAGATTGCAATCGATCTTCGTGTTGCTTTAACTCTAGGGAAATCTCGTCGATATTCTTTTTACGGATATCCTCGTATTTCCGTATAGAGTTAATGATCTCCGATTCTAAGTTTTGGAGAACACCATGCAAGTAACTAAAATGTTGTGTGACTTTAGATTCTATGTTTTCCACGATATCTTGCATCTCGCTCGGTTGGGATGATAGCACAGTTAGTTTCTGAAATTAACATATAGAACCCATAAGATGTTGCCTATACGTACGCAGTAATTTTCTGTTAATTTTTTTCCAAATTAAGTAACGTAAATAAGTTTGCCAAGTGCAAGTAACTATGAAATTCGATCATCTTAAAGATTCCAACGTGCGGCAGTTTGACAAAAGTTACAACAATCTAATATAATTGAGTATAATCTTGTAATTCAAGTGCAACTATTGCACCGAGACAATAACAAAAATCTAATATAGATTTATATCTTTCTTAAACGGTTAATCTCCAAATGATATTCGAAAAATAAAGAAATCGCTGTCATAAGCTGCTCCCATAGAATCATACGTAGCGTTCTGATGTAACAAGAAACTGATTGATATTCCGACGGGTTCGGATCGAGCGTTAAGAAATCGACGCATCTGAAATTTACATTGTACCATGAATTGTAAGATTGCGATTAACTTTATGGAGGAGCCTAAGGGAAAGACTTAAAGTGAGTATCCGTCGTGAAGGGAGAGCGGCAGAGATCGGAACGGTGGGCAGGGAGCAGCAAGGAAACAGAAGAAGTGGGTACGGACCGATGGTTAACGTCGAACCTACGAACGAACAAACGCGCCTTTCCCCAGTCTTTCACGTCCCGAGGACCGGTTACCATCTACGATCCGCCGTCGCCGCATCGTATATCGGTTGTGTTTCGTTTTGTAGCTAGTGATTGCTAATTCTCTGTGTTGGTTGTTTCACCGTTGTGACACGTCGAGGATGAGGCTGATTCCTCGTCGAGCCTTGGGATAGCTAGCCATCAGAGTCTGTCGGAGTGTTTCCAGTCAAGAGCTCGAACGGAGGAGGGACCATGCGAATATTCGACAACCTCTGTCCGCTGGGATACGTCGCGGTATTTTTGTTACTTATTGGTGAGTCTTCTGGACCATTACTTGGTTGTAATATATTAATTATGTTTCACTTGAATTTTCATATATCTCTTGCGTCATTGTTTTTATAAGAGAGTTTACAACAGATTTGTTAAGAGAATGACAGAGCCTTAATATTTCTGCTAGAGATTCAAAAATGTCTTTTTAAAATGTGAAAGTCTCCAATCCATCATCTAAAGCATTTATGTTACATATGAACCTTATGTATTTTGCTGTAATATAGTTTCACGGGTAACATTTTATATAGCAATAAAATAAATGATGCAAATCTATATTTTGTATTCAATTATGAAGTGAGTTTGTACTTCTGTTTGCGTAACAGGTTGCGCGTTAGGTTTATAGTGCTCTAATCATTATATAATCGACAATCTCCGTTAGCGATGTTTAATGCGGGAAATGAAGGAAGAAGCTGCTGCTATGTACTTTCTTCTCATGTGTAAAACGTAACTGCAATGCGCTAGACACTTAAAACATATGAGAATCAAAAATGAATTAATGTATCTTCAGATATGATATCAACATATAAACAGAATATCGGAGAAAGATTCGTTTATTCATCGAAAACGTATAGCAAGAAATCATTTTATTGACGTACGGCTAAGATGGGAAAAAAGGGCTTAACGAAAATTTGAGAAGGTATATCTCGCGGTTGAAATTACGCGCGTCAGATTCGCACTTCGAGAAAGGAAAGTATTATTAGTGATGCAAGTCCATTGTTTACTAGCGATTCTGATTGCCTTCTCCTTCACTGTATAGTCAGCCGGCTCGGCAGCGTAAACCTATTTCTAAGCCGATACATAACAAATTCTCACGAGCGTTAAAACGTTTCATGTGGCGAGTAGTCCCGATATGGATAGCTAACGCCGCGCTTTCTCCGTCCGAGCCCGTCGTTGCTGTCGGAGTCGAACCCTCAATTAATTCCACGTCAACAATTACCGCGATCGTATTATCGAGAAGAACGCAAAAAATCAATTACCACTCTCCCTTTAATGAGAGGCAAGACATTCACGATGCCTTCAGATAATTTCTGAAATGGGTGACTAAAAATTACAACAGAGTTAGTCGCTGAAGATGGAACAAGTTGACGTTGAAGATGCAGTTCATGCTGTATTTCAAACGCTTTTAGCTCTTTTTCAGTATTTATGTTCTATTGTACGCCGTAATTTTCTACTACATTATACATAATCATATATCATAATCATATTCACTTAAGGATGTATAGGCTATACATTGACGTGTGACCGATTTTTATGACCCCGCTACGTTCCGTCCATCTTTTTCGGAATCGATACGGTTTATCACATTGAATCCGGTCTATCTCTCAGACATCTTTCAAGTACGAAAGAGGAGAGGGATGAAGACGGGGCGGCTGGAATCTCGTTTGCCCTGCTAAATCAGTCGCGGAGAATCCACTTCAACGTGTTCCCGACGCGCAGCGTTAATTATACTGCGTAAGCAGTCAAAGAGAGTCCCCGAAGAAAACGAGTGGGAGTCGTAGTAGCGGCCTTGCTCCAACTGCTAAATTAAGTCTTCATCTCGCGGTACAACCTTCGAGCTACCTTATCCTGATCGATATATGTACACATTCATTTACCTACCACATTGTAGATCATTCACAGGGGTTAACGAACTTGCGGTTCGTTATCAACATTTAATTAGCGAGATCAATCGGGGAAGATTAACCGCGACCAAGAGAATTTATTTCGAACACTTAATGCGCGCTTGAGAGATCGACGAGACGGCTGTGTTCGCCAAAGGACTAATGTGTACCAACGTAGAAGACAGTTGGATTCTCTTTAATCTTCCTTTGTAGATCATGTAAGCGCCAGGATTTCATCGCGGTCATATTATATACGTACTACATGTGCACACGTACACGTGTATTCGTGGGTATAATTAATGACGAGCGAGGTCTGTCGGACGACTCGAATGCCAACAAGTTGGGATCGTTCTCGTGGTGACGCAACCGGTGAACGTTTCTCAATGTTTCTCGAAGCGAACTCGTCCTTACGTGGACGTCGCATTCAAGGAAACAAATCGTTTCAAGTATTAAATACAGGTTGTCTCAGTTCTGTCAAATATCGCATCTTTTATTAGTATAAGAGAATTTCACCTTAGTTGAAAATTCATTTAAGTCTTATCATTATAAAATATTTTTTCTCTTCGAACAATAAATTGTACGTCCAGAAATGATCGTACATCAAAAACGTAGGTGCATTCGTGTATCACGCGATCGTGAAAAAAAGTGAGAGATATGAGAAAATTTCTAAAAATATTGCTTTAAAAAATGATGTATTTCGTAGCAGAAGCTTGACTAGTGCAACTATTGGATTAATCAAGTTCCATCAATTTTTAGATTAATTCTTGTTAATCCAATCACAGAGAAAATATCTCACGAATTTGATTATTCGTAGATATACGTGACAAGCTATTTGTTCGTATAAGTCCTGTTGCATTCAAGATGCGATCATCCTTAACAACGCTGCCGACGATAAACGACCGAGTGCGCGTCGTCGTGACCGTACTTTCCGGTCTGGTTCGTCGCAAAGAGAGCGAGGCTGGGAGAGTGATCCTTGAATGAAAATTATTTCTCGATCTAGACCGAGCAAACGGGTCCAAGTGGAACGACGACGCCTTTCGAATCGGTCGATCGCCGAGCCCGCCGCGCCGCGCTGCACTCAGGTAAGTAGCAAGAGAGAATATATGTCGTTTGTTCTCGGTCCGTGTGCGCGTGACTCTGAAAACCCGATAAAGCGCGAGGCGCGGATCCCGTGGCTGCCCCCGTTGAGTGCTGCCCAATTTGCATTTCGAATGCGGCTAGATCGGTAGATAAATACTTATAGTGGTCGCACAGCGAAGTTTGCTCGAGCAAATGCCATCGCGTTTTATGCGATGCGACGCAACGCTACGCCGTAACCTCGTTCGATTTTCGTCGCCTGCCATCACATTTTCCTTTCTTCGATTCTTTGAACGGGCCGCGTTTCAAGAGCTTTCGCGATCGACAGGATTTTGAGTGATGGCAAATTTCCACGGTGATGGATATAAAGGAGAGCACGATGTAAATTTTAAGAAAATATTTGAAGGATTTATGTTAGAAGATAGTGGCCATGATCGAATTTTGATAAAGAAAGCTACGAGTCCCAATATGAATTAATTATCGCTTTCAATTTCTTCGTGAATCCTCGCGAGTTGTCAGGGTCTAAATACCTCGTGTAACGAAGACATTTCTCTAGCACCCTTGATCCCTATCCGGGGATGCACTTTGACAAATTTCCTGAATCGCAGTCGATCGAAATTTAGAAAAGGGAAGTCAGAAGACACGAGGGAGAGATCCATGTACCACAGATTTCTTCATTAAATGTAATGACGGCGCGAAGCAAAATTAAAAGCGAATTTAACGCGAACATTAGTCAAGATGTTTAGTCGTTTAATACGTTTTATTATATGATTTCTACATACGCAAATAAAGTGCGAAACTGCATGTTTTAACACCTACGACACAATTAAAGGTTGTTGCTGCGGAGCATGACTCGTATAAGGCCCTTATGAATAGGATTTTTCTTTCTTTTTCACAGATTTTTTTCCTCTCAAAACATCGTGAAAAGGATCATGTAAAAAAAAGGAAATAGTCTACTTGCTAATGATGTTGGGACGAAAATTAAAGGGGATTAAATTGTCGAAGCGCGAGCGAGCAAGTTTTCGTCGCGGTTTTCATTTTCATTTCATTTTATTCCCGCTGATGGAAAACGACAAAAATTTCTACTTCTACGGGTCGTGTTCATCGGATTTAATTAGTAGCCCCGCTTCCGGGCCGTGTTTAAAGTATATCTATACGGGATGGGGAAAGTTGAAAACGCTCGCGGTTACATACGATTAATACTGTATCTAATTTTTAAACGTCCATTCAATGAGTCATACAAAAATCAAACTGGTCAACGTTCTTTAGATAATCTGATTTTTGAAGTATTCTATCTATAAATATACGTTCTCATTATTAGGTTACGGATTTTTATGAATTCATAGAAGAAATTGGTGTGCTGAATCTTGAACAGTGCACTCAATATGCAAAAGCATAGAAAATA